GGCACAGCTAAATTGGTAACCCGCCTACTCCCCATCCGGGAGCGAGAGCATCTGTTGGCTGCCTAACTACTCTACGATTGTTTTTTTTGTTTTTTGAGGGGGGGACCATTTTTCGATTTATTTGTGTCATCCATGAGCAGGGAGGGGCCATGCTAATCTTCTTTCTCGGTATTTTCGCACGTCGTCTCTACACAAGAAATCCAAACAGCCTTTGCTATGTCCCTCGTCTCTCCACAACGAGAAGTCCAAACAGCCTTCGCTCCCTCCCTCATCTTTCCACAACTTTCGCCTACCACAATCTCCTCTCTCTCACGCCATAGCGATGAGAATGCACTGCACTGCAATCCCGCTGTCAACTCACTGCACAACCGTCGCACCATTGACCACGCGATGAAAATGGGCCTCGCTGCGTTACTCTCGAAATGTGCAAAACGAGAGTGAATCTTCCCCTAGAATATGGAAAGATACATCGCCATGATTTTTGTCTTTTGTGCGTGTCGAGAGTAGTGCAGCGAGGCCCAATGTCTCTCACCGCAATGGCAATGTCGTCTCGCGCCATAGCAGTGACTCAGAGTCGAAAAACCCATGAGACAAGATGCACAAGCCAAACCCAAACAAAATAAAAAACACGTAACCATGGCCATCGCTACACCACTCTCAAAATGTACAAAATGAGAATGAGCTTTTCGTAAATCATGACCAGATGCACTGAGCCGTGTATTCACTAAAATTGAAAATGCTCGCACGAGAAGACCAAAAAAATATGTAGCACGTTCAGAGTCAGGCAATAAATAGCATCCACTTTTGATGCGTGTCATCCTGTCAATCAACAGCAGTCAACAGCCAGACCGGAAATACGTATGCTGCAGCAGAAGGAAAATCCTTTCAGAAGGACCGAAAACAATGGGTTACAAACCATATCAGCGACAATTCCACAATCGAAATACTGACGATAGGATTGCTGTTTGGGCAGACATGGCAGAGGACGAAATGCCCTTCACTGAATTAGAACCCGTACTCGACGAAGACGACAGGAGCGTCCACGAGCTGACGTGCATCCGGGCTCTATTCGGGAAGCAATTGTTGCAGGACAACCCTGGGTAGTAATTCCCTTGGCGTTTTTGGCAGTGGATGGGGATTTGCAACTGATGGCTGCCCTCTCATCGGAGGGCACACTTTTCATTCCGCATTATGAGACATATGTTGAGCCCACTTTTGAATTGGTTTTGACAGAAACCCAAAAGTGGCTATCATCTGCATACAAATTGCGACCATATCCAACTATGGAATGGGTTAGACTGACAAGGGACGTACCGACATTCTCTGTTTCCCGATTCTTGATGCAATCACCAACAATGGGGTATTAACTGGTGGTTCACTATCTAAAGGAATGCAACAAGGGATCATTACATTACTCTACAAAAAACATGACAAACTGGACAATAGAAATTGGAGACCAATCTCCTTACTGAATATCGCATATAAAATATTCGCTAAATCGTTGGTTTTGAGGTAGGTCAAATACTTACTAGACTTAGTAGGTCTCGATCAGGGTGCTTTCATCAAATACATATGTATCATGGATAATATTGCGACAACTATTCAGGCCTTGGAAGTCATCGCACATGAAAATAAAAATATTGTCATTCTCCTGATCGACATGGAGACAACCGACGATGAAGTAGGCTGGACATTTGTGAGGACAACACTAACTCATATGGGTAAATGGGTTTCAGTAATGTATTCTACGTCAGTTGTGATGGTAATGGTAAACAATCAACTATCTCAGGAATTTACCTTGTCTCGTTCGTTGTGGCAGGGGTTCCCTTTGGCCCCTCTTCTGTTTGTTCTCCACTTGGAAGTCTTGTTGGATAACGTGAGGAACAATTAGCAGATTACCGGATTGAATTACACAAAAATTATCAACGGAAAGGAGCGGCTCTGGTTGATGACTTGACCATAACTTTCTTGAATGAGAGGAATTTTTTGTAGATAGTTCATACAATACTAAACGATTATTCTATACTATTTGAGGCCTCAATATATTTCCTAACCGCTCAATCTCGACTTCAAGTTGAGTGGGGAATGCGGCGTATATCTATGAATGCATCAGACCGCTAGCTGGGAGTTCGAG